AATTGATTGGTTATGAATGATATTATGAGGTGTTGTGGATGGCGTTGAGTCATCGCGGACAGTGATTGTTGCCACAGGTGGTACGGTAATGATAACAGATTTGGTACGCATTGAAATAGTTATTTGTTTTACCACAGAATACTCAACAATTGTTGAGTATTCTGTGGTTTTACTACAGACAGAATACTCAACAATTGTTGAGTATTCTGTGGTTTTACTATAGGCAGATGGATAGGAAACAAGCCAAGGCATTGAATATGACGCTTTTCTGCCATGTGGGACAAACAGTGAGCGGCAATATTATAGAAAAAAATCATTTAAAAGTCAGGCCTATATTTCTTGGGAAAACGTTCGGACAGGTCGATTTTTATTTTTTCCTGCAGTTTTTAATGTTAGTAGATTTATTTATACAGGGTGGCTCAAAAATAAGTTACGATGATCAACTTAATTTTTTTAATGGAAACACTTATTTTTCATTCAATTTTTGAATTCGGCGTAATATTATGACTATGTTTCATGTATCGCATCATTGAAATTGAAAAATTAAGTATGATACTGCTGAATACATTATTGATAGACCTTTCAATGAGGTATTACAAGACCCACATTTTAATTGAATAAAATCAACGATGGCGTCACCGTGTCGAAACTGGTGACGTCATAATTTTTGCACAATTGATAAAAAAATCGCCATTTAAAAGTAAAAATCGACCTATTTGTGATCAAAAGAGTTACGACCATCATTTTCATTTTTTCAAACCATTTTTTTTTTCAGTCTCATTCGGAGAAAATTGCTATTTATTTATCAAGGGAGCAAAGGTATTCATTTCTTTTGAAGTTTCATTGTTAATGTTTTCAATGTTCCTGAAATTTTAGTAATACGTTTAATTTGAATTTGAAACTATATGAAGACATTGGATTTCAGATAAGAAACCTTGTTATTTAATGTTTCAAACAGTTTAGTAAAACACCGAGTTATACCTACCTAAGTGTCTTTTCTTTGAAATCTACTCAGAATGGGCCGTATGGTTCATCTCTTCATCGTATATATTGAAAGCAACTCCAATTTATGAAATTTTCTTGCCGAATCTCCCACGCAGCAGGATTAATGTCCGATAATTTTTTTCTCAGTAGCACTCATGTTTTTTTTATAGAAAATTATACCGAGTCGTAGACGACCTTGAAAAAATTATCGCCAATAATTCTGCTGTAGAGAGATTATGGTTGGAAGTATATATACCTGAAGGATTTTAAAATATTCAAGAAAATCTGGAAATAAGACTATTCTTCAAGTTGATTTCGATCGACCTATTTTGGTCTCTAGGACACCCTCGTTCAAACTATAGAATTCATGTAACGTTGTTCTGGAAACCTTGTAGGTACATACATTTTATTTTCAACATCTTATATCTTGAAAATGGATACAGTTTCGGAATCGGTCTACTGAGCAAACCCGTCCTATGTTGCAGTGTTTTAAATCACGGGTCAATTTCGGGTACACTAACTAGACTTCCTTTGTCGAAAGAATTCCCGAAATTCCTGGGACTACCCAAAGAGTTCCCGGACTTCCTGAGGAATGCCCGGAATTCTCAAAGACTACCTGGACTACTCAAGGAATTCGCGGACTTCCCAAGGAATTCCCGGACTTCCGAAGAAACTCCTGGGATTCTCAAAGACTACCCGAACTTCCCACGTGATTTACCCCTCGGTTCTACCTATTCTACCAACGGGCCATTTTTTTAACACCCTATAGATCATGGATGCTTTCGTTCCTCGTTTCGTTCTATAACGTTCTAACCTGAGAAGTACGATGCAGCTGTTATTCTTGCTCTCTTCGTTAGATCGGAATGGTCATCACTATCAGCGATTCCAATCCGACATCATCATATGTCATTTTCCGCTATCCCAAGAAAAATCCAGTTAATGTGCAGGGCAGGCCGCGGTTAAAAGGCCTCTCAGCGTGACGACTGTCATTTATTATTTAGAGCGATAACGAGCCCGACACACCCTCGCCGTTCGATGCCACCCCTCTTGGAGAATCTCTGGGGTGCTAGCAGGAACACTTATTCGCTTGAATAATACATCAGATATATACACTTTTAATTGAAATGCGACCTCTGCTCTTAAAATCCATTTAGACGGGGCGTTAAGATACTCCCGAGGCTCGGCAGCTGACTCCGCAATGGCTCGATGGAATTCCTAATCCACTCGTATTGCTATGAGGGTTGCTGGTTTACACTTCTTTTAGATACCCTTCGAAACTTCCAAATCTCACCCATCCATGCAAACCCACCTATAAACAATCGTCTCTATGAGATATCAATGTCGATTGAAATGCGTTGATTTTTTTGTCGAGCTGCGATTGGCTGTCGAAATCAATAACACTATGGAGTGTCTGAGTCAAGATCACACGTACAAATTCCAAATCGTATCCTAACCAAATATACGAAACCGCGAAATATCCAGATCGTCCTTATTCGCTTGAAAAATACATCAGATATATACACTTTCAATTGAAATGCGAACTCTGCTCTTAAAATCCATTTACACTCCGCAATGGCTCGAAAGATTTCTTAATCCACTCGTACCTATTGCTACGAGGGGTGTTGGTGTATACTCTCCTTGCGGATTCAGGGCTGGCACGAAATAATTCATATGAATTAGCTCAGTTATTTACCTAATTCGCAAATTAATTCAAATGACTTTTTCAACAAAGTTGTGAATTAATTCAAACTATCTCCAATTGGAACAATTTGCGTTATTCCTCCGATTTAAAATAGTTTATACCATCATAACTACTAACATCAACTAACTTTTCTAATGAAAATTTTTTATGAGTAATGTTGTATATATAAATCCATTGATTTCTTTTCAGTTTTGCAAAATATGTCTTCATTATCACCAATTTGTGTTAAACTTTTATAGGTGCTAATTCACAGTTGCAACTGATGTAAATCAGGCAAAGATTCGTGGGAAGAAAGCTTTACTAGGAAGGCAGTTCAGGCACGTGGTAGTTTCGTTATTTTAGAAAAAATAAGAATTCCGACTTTTTTGTTCTTTGTTTTTTTTTTTGTTTTTATCTGAATTGAATGATTTGAAAGACAAAACTTCTAAATTCGAGAAATCAGGGGTATATACAAACTCAACTGTGGATCTTGTCCAAAGGTATATCGGTCAGACAGGTCGTACGTTTAATCAGCGTATTCATGAACATATATAAGATGATTTTTTATTATAATAGGAGAGCACAATAGTTTTGATGATAATTCCGATATTCTATATACACGTAGAAAATAAAGGAATAAAACTCAATCATTTTGGATCATCAGAAATCAACAAACTCAAAAATTCTAACATTTCACCTTCATAACGATCAAATAGACCTCAATAGTTCACCACTGTTGAATTTGTTTTCTTAATATGTATTTGCTATGAACCCTTCCAAGTTAATCCGGTACAGTGTAGAATCACAACGGCATGCGAGATTTCTTTATGAATGACACTGTACCTTTACAATAAGCATTGATAGTCAATATGATTCAAGAACTAAGTACTCGATACATGGAAAATTAGTGAAGAGCTACTCAAATGGAAAATTATTGGGTCTTATATACAAAGCTGATGATGATAATATATAATCGATCTCTGCCAATGTGGCACAATCTCCTGATGCCTGTTATTTGATCGAAGAATTTACATACTTCCAATATGGCCGACTGGTTATCGTCAAGCAAAAAATCGGGTTTGACAAAATGCGGCCATCAGTAATCAAATACAGATTCATCATGGCTTTAGAGACAGAGACCGACTTGCTAGGCTGGTTTAACATAAAAAAAAGCATGGGGATGGAGTGATACGTTATACTTTTCGCAGCTGGGAAATATTCAGATTATTCGGAAAGGATTCCGCTTTGATAATGGTTACGATGCGTGAAATATTTGACAAATGTCGATTTCATATCGACAGTGTGGAATTGTTTGCTTAGGAACTCCGAATATGATTTTTTTATAGTCATTACCAAAACAAGGCGTTCCAAATATTACATTAAATATTTATATTAATCATCAATTCTGACGTATATTTCAACAAACTGATAATAGTCGAATACTTGGTTGAATTTTTCGATATAATGACGAATATAGTTGAATATGTAAATACGTGAAGCAATAATAAATATTCAATTTATAAAAACAGAGATCTCACGAATTCAGATAGAAGCTATATAAAAAAAGAAAATGACAATTCCCTTTGAACTTTTTTCTACAGACTCTGTTGGTGAAAACAAAGGACATTTTGAACACTTACACAATTATTACTTTCTCACCATGAGTTTTTTCAATTGAGAGAATATGATATAAAAAAAATCATCCGATGTGTCAGCTTCGAAAACATTTCCATTGAAAATCTTCTTGAATAAACGGATGCCCTTACGAGAATTTTTTTACCGAGGAAACCCAACATATTATATTGCAGGGGGGATGTCTATTATTACCTATATATACCATCGTCCAACGCTCATAAATCATCATGGTAAAAGTGCGTTTCTGTATGTTCTGACTTGAATCGTTATTTTCTCTGAACCCAATATCATATTAGACAGTATTATATGCATCAGGGTCATAGTAACATTATTCAGAAATTTATATCATTATAGACTTGCCGCTTTTATTTCTATCTCTAATATGAGATATTTATGAGTGAAAGGCTTCTATAATTATGTATTAACGCTTTAACGACATTACATTATACACTTTGTCCGAAATAAGGATGTCTATCATAGGGGATAGTTTTTATTTTTTTCTGACGTTATTTGAAGAGATATAGAAAAATAAGAGACACTTTCTCATTGCCACTTTTTATCCTTTACAAAACAACGTTGAGAGATTTTCGGTACGACGTTTCGTTTCGGAAAAACCATCATCAACTTTACCCCATGATAGACATCCTTATCTTGGACACACTATATATATTTCTGCGTGAAGTATAAAATTCAAACTCACCCATTGAATGGATATCCAGCAAAAGCGGTGTCATAAGGGTGGTACACAGAAGGGTAGGGCCAACCAGCGGCTCCCGCAAGGTTTTCTTTCAGTTCCAATCCGGCAGCCTGAAAAACATTTTTTTTATTCAATTACCTTCACTATATACGTAGATATACCTTATAAACAGGGTGCTCCGAAAAGGTTTTTACAAAAACCTACTATACATAAGTATTCCGCAGACCCAAACATCAAGCAAATTTACCTCTCTACCGAACTATGTACAAAGTAGCTTAGTTCAGCTCCTAAACTAGACGTCTAGATGGCTATATGTGAAGTTACAGTTTTCTCATCGTTTTTGCTTCATATTAACTTTGAAATGGCCATGGGATTTCACTAAAATTTGTTTCTGTAAATGTACGCCAATGGAAATGAAGGGGTTATAATATGATATTTTGATTGTGTAAATATACGCCAATGGAGAGAAAGGGGTAAGAATATGAAATTCGAGTTGTGTAACTTATTTACTACGAAAACGGTACTCTATATATATCTAAAATTCGATTATACTCTAGGTTTCGACAAAATTTGAATTTCACGAAATTAAATCGCGTATTTCATATAAAAATTCTTCAAAGTAATCATTTTCACGAATACAAAGATTTATATATACGAAGAGAATAGTTCATCAGCTATTATTTGTTGTTGTTTTTTTATTTTCCATGTTATATCAGTTAATCGTTTTATAATCTGTTTCAATTTACTAAAATTCAAATATACGCAATCCAAATTCCATATATTCAAACTCTTTCCTTTCCATAGTAGAAGTTTCAGAACTAAAATAGTCAAGTTCAACCTTCGTAAAATTATATTCATCATGATCATGACATGCATGGGTTTAATTGCCTAATAAAGCTTCCAAAATACCAAATTTTAGTAATATCTCAGGAGCTGTCTAGCTAAACTTGGGTAAAATCACTGCTTTGGTGAGGAATATGTATGAAGTAAGTTTTGTCAAGACCTTTCAGGGATACCCTGTATATGTAGATCTACTGTGCTTACAATTGAAATTAAGTTAATGATATAGGTATATATTGGGTGAGAAAGAAATTACATTGGGCAAACATTGAAAACTGGCGACGAGCTGTTTCACACAGTAAAAGTTCCCATTGTCAAAATCGAAATTCATTATCAAGTGCTCGAACTATAGAAAATGTTTGCCGTGAATATAAGTAGGTATTAAATTAACTAAAAGCTGTATTGTTCCTGACAAATTGAAACAATGTACCGAAAGGCTATCAACCTCAAAATTTGAAAAAGCGTTCCACAAATACTCATTGTGTAGCACGTGTCAATATTGAAATCCATCGATATAAGGTTGCTTTTTTCCGATGCAAATGAATGAAAAACCATTCGGGAAATATGCAACCTGATTGTTTATTCATGTTTCGATTAGTCTCCAACAGAATTGGATTTATTCATTCAATTCGTATTAGTTAGCGGTCAGGAGGTCACGTTTCTACAATATGTCGATAATAATGGTTCCTTGTATTGTTTGTTAACTACTGTATGACATTGTATCGGAAAAGTAACCGACAAAAATCGATTGAATAGCCCTTCAATGTGAAAAATCTTTTCAAGACTCCATACATAATATTCTTTTTACATAATATTCGTTTTACCAACTCTGACTGGGATTAACCAAGATTCTCAGTGCAGCTCAATAGCTCAGTTGTATAACTTGTTTCATTTATCTCAGTCTGATGTGAGTTGTCTTAAGAACTTATTGAGACTATTTATTCCCCCTCACCCCAGCTTGCTATTCATCTGGTGTTGTAGTGAGAAAAAGGTGAGACTGGCATAATTCTAGGGGCTGTGGTTCTGTGCAATCTGTGCTGAAAATTGTAAGGTTATATTCTCATTTTGACATGCTTTCAGCTTTGAAGTTTCAGTCCACATCAGGTCAATCAATCCTTTGAAAGAAATAATTAATTTGTTTCCAAAATTCCTTGATATAGGTGATAGAATCCAATAAAGACATATTATTACAACTCTAAGGCTGAAGCATGCAGTCCAACAAGTCAGATAATAATTGTGAATATTATGATGTGATCACAGACGGAAATAATCTCGCAAATAATGCTTATATCATTGACGGGATTTCGATTCTATTATGTTGGGTTATGTTTTCTTTCCTTGTCCTTCCTGACTGATAAAAACGTGTTCTTTTTATTCAATCGACAACTCAGATCCGTCTCACCTCCTTCTAACTCAATTGATCTCAGTAGTAAGATTGTAACAGGGTGAAAAGAATATTGCTTATTTATATATAAGCAATTTTGTATCCCGGCAAAAGAGGAGGGTATTGAGGGGCAATGCCCTACTTTGATTTCAAAATGCCCAACCTCAAAATGAAATGAACTTTGATACTCGAAAGATCTCGATGACCAAAGAGAAAATAACCGAAACTCAAGTCAGTATTTTCTCTAAAAAAGCCGTATATACCTACTCAGCATCTCGAAAAGCTACCACTTACATCAATTTATTAACGATGCTCCAATTATAAAACTTTAGGAAAAAATTTTCCAATGATCACAATGTTCGATATATTCAACAAATATTGCAGTGATTTAAGTATTTTTCCATATATTCGTTTAAAAGAATAACTAAAAAAATTACTATTTCCTAATATCACGATAATAAGTAGTTAGTAATTATGAATGAAAATGCTTACTCTTTTTCCCGTATCGCAAATATTTCATTTTCATACCTTCTATATAATTAGGTGGTATTTTTGTATATTTGTTTAGACATGAATGTTATTGTAGCTCTGTAACTGATTGTATTAGTAGATGCATTTATGGGTAACAACCTGTTAGTATCGAATAAATAAATAAATAAATCAACAAGATTTAGCACGTCTCAAAATATTGTTTCCTCATATGGGAATCAGCACTCAATAATGAATTGATTCTCTTAGACGAGCTCTTAGACCTAATTCCAGTCAGACAAACTCGATAAGCCCGAGGTTTGTCAAAATATTTCGAACAAGTCTCGACCAAAACCAAAACTAGTTTGTCCATAGAAGTAAAGGTAAGTAGAAGTCCATATAGTGGTCAAAGTGCGGAATATATTAGTAAAAGTTGAATAGAGGAAAATCAATCTCAAGGAGCAGTATCTGGACAGGCAGCATCAGCTGCCGCTACATTTCATGTAATTCTAGATCAAAGCAAAGTCATTGAATTCTTTGATGGCGATGAAGCCGTACCAGGAGCAACCAATTGGGTAAAAATCATCAACAAGCAATGGGAAAAATGAGTCTGATGAGCTGAGGATGATTTTCAAATCGATCTAGAGCCTGTGAGAAGAATGCGACTAAAATAAACGGAACCCCTCAACATACAGAGACCAACATCATATAAGAGACAACAGAAGATATGATGATTACTCGTGTGATTGGCTCACAAATTGATTCTTTTTCATGATGATAAAGTGATATATTTCTATTATGTTGTATAATATTATTCATTTGATCATAGAAAAATACGAACGAGGTCGTTCGTAGTACAGGATGGTTGAATTTAAGCATAAATGAAACAATCTATGATTTAAGCAATTTAGTATCCCGGCAACGGAGAGAGGTTGTTGTTTAATTTTTAATACTCAAAGTTGGGGAAGAAGTATTTTCTTCAATACCTATACATTTGCAGCTGAAAGTGAGCCTGGGTAAAGTATCTATTTTGGGCACATCATCCGACTTGTACTTACTACGAATATATTGAAATAATATATCTACCAATATTTTTGACAAAATCCCAGAAATCTAAACTGCTGCATTACTAGTTTTCTTCCTCAAAATACAAAAATCTACTGCTCTGGTTTGATCATCTCGGTTCATGTTTCTCTCATATTATACAGAGGTAACTTGATCCCTTCCCGAACAGGTTTGGAAATCACGATCTATCTACTTGACTCCGAAACTAGTCTACGAACTTCGTATAGTGGTTTAGAGGACAAATACTGCGACCACGACATGAGCAAACTAATGTTAAGTAATGTTGTATAACGTATAACTTTGTGTGGGACAAAACAATCTAGTATAGTCGTGTTTACATGTGTCGACAACTCCATTGAAATCCTGATTTGTTAACCCAACTCCCTTCAAGAGAAAGTTCTATTCCAATGAATGCGAAATACTACTCAACAATTCAACGAGTAATTTCATGTGGTACAGAATTAATCTAGAGAAGTCCGTACTATCTCAAAATTGAGTGTAAATGATGATTCAGGAACAGGAACTATTTTCATAAGATGTTCTCGAGTTCCAGAATATATACAGGGTGTTATCGGTATACTCGATTTTTGTCAGAAGTCTTCAAATCAACGCGAGACATTTTCATCTCAAGAATCGAACAAAAAATGGAATAAATGAATCGAGTTCAAGCCTATTGAAATCCTATAGAGGCTGTTAGTGAATCTGCCATCTATGCACATGAAAATTTGATGGCATTGACATCAGAATTGATACAACGTTGCCAGAAGATACCAAAGTGGATTAGAGAAAATTCATTTGAAATGCATCCGTAATGGAAGCAAGTTGCTTGCATATGAAATGATGGAATAATTTGAAGAATTCGTCGAAGATTTGCTCAGTCCATCAAAAATAATCCAAATACGAATATATATAGTCTGCTGATGACACCAAAGATAATATACTTATACTCATTCCTTAAACTGTGGTTTTGTGCTGTGTTTCATTTGGCAAGCCATTATGCGTTTATCCACGATTTTTCCATTCATTCAATAAATGTCAAATCTTATATGAAAACTGTCTTGACTATTTGGGGATGAATGTGATTGGTTGGTGAAATGATCAAAACCCCTTGTCAAAAAGCCAAGCGGGTAGCTAGATTGTAGATTGTAGATGGGTCGTATAGGCTGGGAGACCTCTCGATCACTGCGACCTAGAAGATCTATTGTGATTACCCTTATCTAGTTTTGGTCCACTAACCCTAGACTTTTGATGAAGCCTAGAATTTTCCTGACGGTTGAATTTTCCACCTCAGCAGGGGTGAGATAGACCTGTTCTAGGTGGTTCAGCCTTTGGTGGACTAATACTTCACATGAG